TTGTCCAATAAAATAACAACTATCTAAAAATAACTATCCAATAAAATATAAATATGAAATTAACCAATAGAATATATTATCCAATTAAATTTATGATATGAATTAATCAATAAAATAAGAACTAAATATTCATATTATAACAATAGTAAAGAAACTTTTCATTTAAAGTAACCATAACAATACTCTATTTATCATTTATATTATACTTATTATATTTATTATATATATTATCTTTACTATAATTAAATTAAATATAATATTAATTAATGAAAAATATTAGATATAAATATAACTGATCTTGTAAGTATAAAAAAAGCAAGTTATATTCAATTAGATCCAATATATAATAAATAAAATACCTTTAAATAAATATTTATTACTTGATTATCTTTATTAAATTTTATAAACAAACAAATTAATTACATGTAATTACATTCTTATATTTGCATTTATTGCACACTACTGAATATTTAACCAGGTTGCTATAGAATATTAGTACTATATTACTATAGGACTATTCACATATTAAGTAAATACAATGAGATATTTATTAGTAGTAATGATATTCTATCTTGATGATAGAAGAAAATGTATTTATTACACATAGTATCTCAAGATTACATGACTTATCATAGATTGATTTTATAAATATCAAAAAGAGTTCTAAAAATCAAATTATAACAACATTTAGTAATTAAATTTGAACAAAATATTATCATTTTATTCATTTCAACTAGACAAATCAAATGACATTATTTTTGTTCAAATTCAATTACTGGATATCAATGATTAGATTATTAGATATTGAGATATTGAGATATGTGTTTTGAAATTTGTGATATAAAATTTTAATGAACACAAAATATCTGATATAGAAGTTCTATCAACTTTAAAAGGAGTAAATGATCAGCATTTATATTATTCTTTGTTTTCAGGAATTTTTAGGGTGATACGCATAATCTATAATTTTATGCTTGTACATGTTTTTAAGAATATTTAATATACAATGAAATTCCTATATTTATGTAAAATTTTTAAGCAATAATTATAAGAAAACTACAGAGACTACATACAATCAGAGCTCAATTTAGTAATGAATTGATAATCAAATTTTATATTGTTAAATTGCGATTTTGTTAAATCGCAAGTTGCTAAATCGAGCCTTGATTGTCGGTCGGGTTTTAATTTATCAATCATGTGTCGCCGATCAAATGTGGCGTATATGTGGCTAAACCGGCTTGCCTTGCTTTAACGCTCCCCCTCTTTCGGAACTGATCTGCAATTTGTGTAATCGAGAACTGTCACTCCTGAATTCAGGACGTGCACGCACATGTGATGTTGCCTTACCATATGTCTATTTTCCACTTTGATCTTGCAGTAGGGGATAACATCTATAAACAATTTTTTGTATCATGATGCTCAATGAGCTCTTGAAGTTGTATAAAGAAACTATTAAAGACCCATCAATAAAAAATGACGTTCATATTTTTTATATATTTTTAGCACTAAAAGGTAAATTGACGTTCGAGAAAGGAGAAATTGAAAAAATCAATTTATTTTTTAAGAGAAAATTTCAGGCAAGTATCTTTTTTTTTGAGCTAATCTTTATTCAATGATGATATTTGGCTATTCTGCGAAGTTATTAGCTCTGTGACGGCCGCACAAAGGATAATAATTTTGCTTGCGGCGCGCCCATCCTACATTATATCAATAAACTATATTAACCTCCTAGGTATAGGAACTTGTTAATATAGTAATGGCAAAAAGAAACGAAATTCGCTTTGATGGTATTATATTAACCTCCTAGGTATAGGAACTTGTTAATATAACAATGTACCAGAAAAGCTTTTAATATGAATTTCTCTGAGATTTTTTAAAATACTATTAATATTTATAATAACAAAACACAATATTTACGTATATTTCTATTATTATATTTAGAATGTGACATACAGCAATATCGCAAAAGCTTTTTACTATTATATTCAAACTTTACGTACTACTAAATATTGGAGATATGTATGCGAAAGTGCTAAAGAAAGAAATGTGGGTTATTTAATTGAAGATAAAGGTAAAAATAAAGAAAGCGAAAGTGAAGATGAAGAAATCGAAGGTGATGACGAAGAAATCGAAAGTTATGTGGAGGATTGTGATAACGATGATGATGGCAATAATAACAGCGACACCAGTAAAGATGATCCAACGTATATAGAAAAAAAAACAATAAATTTCTCGCGTATTAAATTTAATGAACGTAAAATCAAAGCGAGATATCAAAAGGTTTGTTTTTAAATTTTTTCTTGCTTATAAAAAATTTATATTATATTGATATTATATATTTATTATTAATAGATATACGAATCATCATCTTATATTTCTGTAACATCACGCTTAATTCTTAAAAATATCATTCAACTCAAGTTAAAGCCAAATGATTTAATCTCCGACGGTATTCTTGAAATTAATCACATAAAAAAACATCATCAAAAACTATATCAAATCCTAGAGACAAATAATTGTTTACGCGATTTCGTTTATCCTGAGCTAAGTGATTCCATCGGCTTGAATGAGCGAGAAAGAGGTTTTGTCCGCGATTATATTCTATATGGAAAAGCCACAGTTCCAGAAGAAAGATCTCAAAATCGAAACTTTTATGATAGCTTAATTTCTTTCTTGAAACAATTGCAAATAATTTGGAAATCAAAATCCTATCAAGAGCGATCAGAAACAATCAATGAAAAATCCTACTCGCACCAAGTTGTAAAACCAATAATGGATTTTACATTACACAACATCAATAATGTAGAATCCAGATATGACGGTCATCCATCTGAAGCAACACAACGACGAAATGCTGGTGAAGATGGCCCTATAAGATATCCGGATCTTTTCTCCTATAAAGAACATGAAAAACATGCAATTAATATTGCATTTATACATGGTGAAATCAGCAATGGCCCGTTCGTAGAAATTAATGCACAGCATTTGAAGCATATATCAAATGATAAGATTCGCCTTGGGAAATTCGCAAAAGACAACTTAAGTTATTATCAATTCTTTATCGATGATTTTGATTCAGAGGATTTGGAGGGGGATTTATATGAATTTCAAAATACGATGTTACATTTTCATCACGATAAAATGGACATTTATCTTATGGACTATGAGCTGGATCCGTTCTATAGAATGTGTTTGGTCAAGTCATTCGATCTTCCCTTGACCAAGTCTCAAAACATACATGAAACCATCGAAAGAGTGATAAAGTTATTAAATATCATAATATCGATGAATCAAATAGCTGAAAGAAATACTCGTATAATCGATAATATAGATAATATAGTAGCAGTTATGTCGAGGGAAAATAGAATCCCAGAACGAAGTAATGTAATTTTGACTAACGCTACTCCTTACGTTCTTGCCGCTCATCATTAGTTTTTCTAATAAAATGTGAATTACAAATACGCGTTATTATTATTACATGTATTCTTTATCAAATTTATTTATTTATTATGGTTCCACTCCAAGATTCCATTTTTGACACGGAAACGAGCCAACCAAATCTATGCCAATTTTCTCGAATACTCTTCTCACTTTAATTTGGCGCAACGTATCGTTGGATCGCCGCGATCTCTCTTCTGACAAACGTCGCAGGATTGGACGAAGTTGCGGATGTCTTAATACATTCTATTCCAATCATATTTAGCTGCTATTCTGTTAAAAGTTGCGTCCACTCCAAGGTCCCCGTGAGAATATCCACGTGTAAGTTATATAAAATTGTTTCCTTGTCGTCAATCATTATAATCTTCGATACTCATGTTCGTTTTTGCCTTTCTTTTTATATAGGTGACCGTTAATTATAGTGAACAACTTTGCCACAATTTTAATGGGATGAATTATACAAGAACTGGAATAGATATCACAGTAATAAAAAAGTGATAATTTGAGAATATTATATAAAAATTCTTATTAGTTATAATATTTTGTGATTTGTAATATTGCTACCGTTTCTAGTTCTTACGTATGAGAATATTTAGAAATGGTTAACAGCGACTGTGTTCACGGCAGAT